ATATATATATATATATGTATTAATTCTTCTCCATTTTCCCAACAACAAGCAAGACGAAGAGAAAATGTAAAGAGTGTAATCACGTCAATTAAGGTTTTTTTTTTTTTTAATTAATAATTAAGTACCAACTCAATTAAACTTATGCTTTTATATCAATTACCACTATATTTATTTGTATCCTTATGACCTCCTAGTCATAGAACTCGATGAATTTTGGTGCTTCTTCGCTACATCCCTCCATTGAGCTTAGAATTGCAGACAACAATCCCTCAATAGAATGACATGCGTTTAGACAGCTCATATGTAACAAGCTTACAAGTTACAACTTATATGATTGGTAACATCACCGTTATCCACAAGCCTTCGCTCCATACAAAAAAGAGAAATGATAAGGACATGAAAATTTAAGATTAATGATGTGATTTATATCATGTCATTAAATTAGTTAACACATATAATTTTACGAGTCTCAAAAAAATTAAAAAAAAAAAACTAATCATTAAATAATATAAGATTTATTTTTTTAATATTTTAAATAACACAACTTACACTATGTCATTAGTCTCAGATTTTTGTTTTAAATTTTGATCATATTTATCATTATTTTATAAGGAAAAAAAAGACAAAATTTGGTTTGGATCGCATATTGACAACAATCATTTTTTATTTCTTAACCTACCCCACTTATATATGGTTTATATAATAATAAATTAAAAATTAAAAATTAAAAGTTTTGCATTTAAAATTGAATAAATAGCAAATAATAAAATACAACTTACCTATGAATTTCATCGAATTAATTTTATATAATTAAGTTAGTTATTTAAAATTACAATGATTTGAATTATTAATATTTAATCTAGAAATACTAATTCTTTAATTAGTGCAGGTACTGACTCAAGATCATTTGTTGGCACATTGTGTAACAAAATTTCCACAATATACTTTTCTATGCTCGTGATTCCCTGATCATAAAACTCTACAAACTTTTGGTGATTCTTCTCTAAAATCCGTGATCAGAAAATCCCAAAAATTTTCATTGAGATGAGAAGTGGAGATGAGAGGGGATCAAAATTGAACACCAAAAGAGTTCCCCTGAACAACAGTACTGGCTAGTGTAATAGAGTGGGCCTAAATATAGCAAGTCCCACAGCTTGTTATGTGGACCTCCAATCCTTCATACTAAGAGATGATTTTAGATCAAACTTCTCTAACAATTCCATGGCATCATCCTCATGTATGAATAATTAGCAAGAGAACCTGACCATAATTTTTTTTTTTTTTCTGGGATTCTTTAATATTCCATTTGTTGTGGATGAAGGTCGATCTATGAGATAGTTAGCATGATTAACAACTTTTGCCCAAAAGACCTTTAATAGACTAGTATTTGAAAGAATACATTGTATCCTCTCCAAGAGTGTATGATTTATATTTTTGACAATAATCATTGATCTTCAAATTTCTTATTGCTATTCTTATATTTTTTTTTCCTCTAATGCTTATATATAACTGAAATCAAAATCATTTTTAATCATGTGCACTTAGTTAAAATTTAATTTTGTGGGTACTGGGTTTTGGTAAGAAAGTAGATGTCACTAGAATTCTTATGTGGTTGTTGTGATCTTGCATCTTTTGTGATAACAAAAATGGGTTCTTCCTCCGCTCCAAGCAATAAATAAATAAAATAAAATAAATTACCTAGTTAGAAAAGCCTAGACTGGTGTTTAAAGTAGAGATTGAAGGAATATGACAGAAATTGAGATGGATTTATAAAATAGTGCTGCCGCAGGTTGACAATCCCCAACAGAAGAAAGTGTTGATTCATGTTTAGATCCATTTTGGTTAAATCATTTAGTAGGTCATGTACGCAATGATGAAAGAACTCAAAAAGGCTCAATAAAGCTACAAAATACATGGTATTTGATTGGTGGGCATTGATCTTTCCTTCGATTTTACCTTCTTTTTTTTATCACTAGTTAATACCCCGGACAATGCCCGGGCCCTTGAAATAAAAAAATAAAATAAAATAAAATTTTAATATTAAAAGGAAATTAGTAGTGAGAAAACATATAATTACTTAAAAGAAAAATATAATAGTGAGTTTTAGGGAATTTAATTTCAATTATGTCAATCCTTATGATGTTAGCAATATATGCATATTTAACTGCTTGGGAATACAATAAAAAACAACGAAATACTCGCAATGTTGTGTCTTATTATAACCATAGTATCCGCTGCCATATATAATTCATGAATAACATTGATGATACAATCTCAATGTAAGGAATCTGCCATAGGAGGTTTCTGCAATCAAAATTCAACTTGAAGAAATGAAAATTGTCTCATGTTATATAGCACATTATCAAATGTGTTTTGCAAGAACACATTTACAAAAAAACCAATGGAAACTAAATCAATACCTCAAAAGAATATTGTAATGAAGTTCACCCATAATTAGGCCAAGAAGCCCAACAATTAACTAACAACAAAAGTTATGAGGCCTGTAGCAAAGCTCAAATAAAAGTACAGTAAAGTAGGTAGAATAGAATTAATAGCAAGTAAACTTTTTTTAAGATATCTCTTTATACTAATTCAAAATTTAAAGAAGAATTTCTTGTCATTATCCAATATGTCTTTCTATGCAAAGTGCTATTCTTGTTAAGTATATTTTAGACCATGTTCAAACTTCCTTCACCAATATAGAAATGCTCTTATCAATTCATAGTCACTAAAAAATCAATGTAAAAAGTAGTAAAGTCAATAATGAATCATAGTATCTTACATACATATACTTTATATTGCCGGATGATTTTGCATCTATACTTGTAAACAAATTCCCAATTCTAGCCACATTTAACATATGTAATTATGTATTTCATTTTACATTTGGCATTTTGTTGTCTCTATGATACCCACAAAGGAGAAGGAAACAAACAGAGGCAAGGTACAATGGTAAATCCCATAGCCCTAGGTCTATGTGCATCCAGGAAAATTCAGTTACAAACTATTGATTAGAAGATAAGGAAAATTCTAAATAATTAGAATGTTTTCTAGTTAGAAAAATAGAGTTACTAACCAAAACCACAAGCAAAAGGGAATCAATGAGCAGTATCACCAACAAGTATTATTTGATTGTAGCAACATATAAACTTTTCAGCAACTTCAGCATACATCATCCATAGCTTTATATCAATAATAATTATAATTGAGAGCTCTTTACCAACCAGTTTGACATATTAACTTCTTACATGTCTACACATATTTGCATTCTTTCAGAGCAATTGTTATAAAAAATGGAGAAGGAACCTTATTACATACCAAATTTTACAATTAAGATTTTTTTAAAAAAAGTCCATCTTGTATATCAACTGTTAGGGTAGTGTGAAAATCATTCAAGAACAAGTATAATTAACTAATTTGTCTTGTGCATAAGATAATAATTGTATAAGCAGAAAGCTAAAGCCTAAGCTTATGCATATCTCAAGGGTTAATCTTTGGGGATTTCTTCATGTTAAACTAATGATGCTACATAAGATGGCACTTTCATACCATGATAGCTTCACGACAGCTTCACCATTTCTTTACCAACCATGTAACAAATTGATGAAGAAAGTAAAATAATTGTTGCAAAAAATGGAAAGCTGGAAGCATCAAAGCTAAAACCAATTAACCATTTTGCATGAAGTAATTTTGTAACACTAAAAAAGCTAAAAGCTAGACAGAGTCTTTTACCACCAGCCATTCCAGAAAAAACCCAAAATTAAAGAGATGTCAGAGATGCATTTGAACATTTTGTTATAAACTAACCATATTTAATAGGCAAAGCTCCTAATTTCCCATATAAACTTAATCAAGACTAATGAATTGAATTATATTGAAGAATCCCTTTGTCTCTAACTTTGTTATGAACTGAATATTAGAATGGTACAACTAATATGCATTTAGAAGTATATTTAGATTCTAATAAATTAAAACAAAGGTGGTACGCAAATACAATTATTCATGTGGGTATCATTTAGCTAAACCCAAGAACACTGAACCTTTCTAAAATCTCAATTATCCTAGCAAATGATGCTATGCCTTGAAAATTATAGGTCAAAACTATGTCATGCTACTTTAGCCTACAAACCCAATACAGGTCAATACTCTAC